CATATCTGTTTGAAAATGAAAATATTTTGTAAATGCCAATTTATAAAAAAAATAAAACTATTACATTAAGACTAATACATATTTTTACGCGTTTTTATTGTACTTAGGCGTTCAGTCCTCAAAAGCATATAATTTCCAAACAATAAGTATACTTAAAATGTTATATATGTTATACCGTATTTACAAATAAGTAGGGCTGCACGATAAATCGCATGCGATATTTAACGCGCAATTTATCGTGCAGCCCTACAAATAAGCCATTATCTGCATTATAATTCTTAAAAAAAAGACAAGGATATAGAGCATTTAATTGTAGATTATAACTTGCCCTTTTCCTGAATTTCCCAACATGATCTTAGTATAATTTACCTTTAGTAAAACTGTTTAAAATTGATATCTATCAAGAATAATATCTAAGAATAATTCTAAAAACATTTTGCAAAATGGCATTTTGCAAAATGGAACCTGGATTTACATTAACTGCAAGTGAAAACCCAGTTTATACACCACCACCACCATCATTGCTCATGGCATTAGCAGACACGATATGAGAATTATATTTTGTCATTGTGTATAGTAACATCCACAAATACTCAACGAGTTGATGGATAGATTTAAATCTGTATGACATTCACTCAAGATAAACAAGACACATGAAAGGTCATATATGCATCAATCATTGCTTATACAGTCAGATGCCTAATGTATGCCCTTATGTATTCATTTTCATGAACTTTTAAGACTGGAAAGAAGTCCAGTCTTCAGTGTCACATGATCCTTCAGAAATCAAACTACTGTGCTTTTTTGTTACTCAAGAAACATTTCTTACTACGATCAATGCTGGAAACAGTTATTTGATGAATAGAAAGTCTAAAAAAGCAGCATTTATTTGAAATCTATCATTTGACAAAAGCAAAATTCCCTGCAAAGCATTGAGAGAATGAGGTGAATCATACTTGACAGTTTTCTTTTATTTAGACAACCCAAATAAAAGGCACATAAAACATTGCACAATGTGTTTACATAATTATTCTTGACATACATAAAAAAAAAAAAAAAAAATGTAGGAATGTTTTTACCTTTCTGCTAACCAAAAAAAGCCTAGTCTTCATATATATACAAAATTACCAATGTTAATGTTCTAATACAAAAAGTCTTATAAAAGGTTATTTTACTTGTGTTTTTCCTTGCATGTGTCTATCGTAACTACCACATTCTCTAAATGTTTTTGTACAAAGATATACATTCATTGGCCTTCACATGGGTTTGCCAATTTAATCAAAAGGACATGAAAGGACTGGACTCATTTTAAACTCTCCAATCCAAAACCGAACACCAAGTCTTTTCTTGTTTTTGCCCCATTAATGTTCTTTAAAAGATACTGATGCATAAGGAGTAACTTCATGAGCAGTACTTTATAGGATATTAAAAAAAATAACAAATTCCTCAAACATGGCAACTTGATATTTCATATGCAAAATAGATTCTAAATCTCCACACCCATTTGGTAAACAGTTAAACTGCAGTTGGCCGCCCAGGCAGTTTCCATCGCTGAGCACTGCTCGTCTTATCAGAGAGAAGACTGATGTGTTTCACGGTGGCATTTTCAGACATGCAGTTCAGGCACGGAAGTGACGCCATTGTGGAAGGACAAACATTTAAATCACAAGCACAATTAAAAACCCTTTCGTTTGTTTTTTCTTTTGTTGTAGTGTTTTTTTCAGTCACATTCCTCGAATTCCAGTTCTCAGTCGTAATAATCCGCCTCTACCGAAGGCAACATTTAAAAACAAACAAAACGAAAACGTAAAACAGGCCATTAAACGATTTTTGCTTTCACATGCCTACATGTAAGTACATGTAATACTAACTTAAGACCACAAATGCTTTGCTACCAGGTCAACGCTGGTTGGGAAACACTGGGGGTGCGAGTTAACACAAACGAAACCTTCTTCCAGCGATTTACGCCGAGGTGGTGGTAGCTATGACATCATCATTTAAAGTACGATCACATTCAGCTGGTTGTACTCTTTGTTTGAGACTCATTCACATCACACAAGCGCACACAACCCTGGTTTAGAGGGCCACATGTGACTACATACCTTGCATCGGTTTCCACATATCATAACATAAAACGGGTACGACAGCTGTCCGGCTTGGTCAAAAGGAGGACTGAAAAAAGGAATATTGCTTATTATATCCAACAGGGAAAGGAAAATCGAAGAGAATAACTAGTTTGGGGATATCTGCACAAGCCGATTTTATGTTATTTTTAAGCAGGGTTACTCCAAACAATATGACAAACCCTGAAAATTTGAAGGCAATTTTGGTTTTTACTGTGACTGGGGTAAACGAACAAGCAACAGAGGTTAACTTTATGCTCCTGTGACAGACGATCACGTCAACGGCTGAAGAGTATATGGCACCTCGACCTCTGAGGTGCGTCTGTTTTCGCCAATAAAGGGAACTATGTTTAGTGTGTTAATTGCGTAGAAAATTAGGTCTGGAAGAAAGCGTTATGCGCGATTCTGTCCATAACAGCAGCAGAGTAAGTTGGGACACCCTCAGCAAATGTCCTGAGCAAAAGGTCCTAACACCGTGTCTACACCGGATGCGACGGTTGTCGTGTTGAGCTAAAGTCTGTCTGCACTGGACGTGACAAAGAGACCGTTGAAAATAATTTGAAATTTGTGTCAGTACGTCATAAATAGAACGCAGCAGCAGTTTACTGTTGGGAATTTGTCGCGCCGCATCCAGTGTAGACAGCATAATACAGGTGCATCTCAATAAATTAGAATGTCGTGGAAAAGTTCATTTATTTCAGTAATTCAACTCAAATTGTGAAACTCGTGTATTAAATAAATTCAATGCACACAGACTGAAGTAGTTTAAGTCTTTGGTTCTTTTAATTGTGATGATTTTGGCTCACATTTAACAAAAACCCACCAATTCACTATCTCAACAAATTAGAATACTTCATAAGACCAATAAAAAAAACATTTTTAGTGAATTGTTGGCCTTCTGGAAAGTATGTTCATTTACTGTACATGTACTCAATACTTAGTAGGGGCTCCTTTTGCTTTAATTACTGCCTCAATTCGGCGTGGCATGGAGGTGATCAGTTTGTGGCACTGCTGAGGTGAATGAAAATCAGCATCTTCAAAAAGCTGGTCAGCAGAAGGAAGCATGAAGTGCTCCAAAATTTCTTGGTAAACGGGTGCAGTGACGTTGGTTTTCAAAAAACACAATGGACCAACACCAGCAGATGACATTGCACCCCAAATCATCACAGACTGTGGAAACTTAACACTGGACTTCAAGCAACTTGGGCTATGAGCTTCTCCACCCTTCCTCAAGACTCTAGGACCTTGGTTTCCAAATGAAACACAAAACTCATCTGAAAAGAGGACTTTGGACCACTGGACAACAGTCCAGTTCTTCTTCTCCTTAGCCCAGGTAAGACGCCTCTGACGTTGTATGTGGTTCAGGAGTGGCTTAACAAGAGGAATACGACAACTGTAGCCAAATTCCTAGACACGTCTGTGTGTGGTGGCTCTTGATACCTTGACCCCAGCCTCAGTCCATTCCCTGTGAAGTTCACTCAAATTCTTGAATCAATTTTGCTTGACAATCCTCATAAGGCAGCGGTTCTCTCGGTTGGTTGTGCATCTTTTTATTCCACACTTTTTCCTTCCACTCAACTTTCTGCTAACATGCTTGGATACAGCACTCTGTGAACAGCCAGCTTATTTGGCAATGAATGTTTGTGGCTTACCCTCCTTGTGAAGAGTGTCAATGATTGTCTTCTGGACAACTGTCAGATCAGCAG